AAAAAAATGACTCAGCCTCTACCACATTCTCTTAATTAGTGATTGATGGAGGTAGGCCAAGCCCATTGTGGGTGGTGACACCCTTGGGTTGGTGGTCCTGGGTTCTATAAGAAAGCAGGCTGAGCAAGCCATGTGGAACAAGTAATAGCTTCTGCATCAGCTCCTGCCTCTGGGTTCCTGTCCTGTTTTAATTCCTTTCCTGGGTTCCTTCAGTGATGAACTACAATGTAGAAGCTTAAACCAAATGAACTCTTCTCCCCCCTCTTGATTTTGTTCATGGTATTTCATCATGGCAATAGAAATGCTAATTAGGATAAAGTCCTTGCCACCAAGCCTAATGACCTAAATTCAAGCATGGAATTTACCTTGTGAATAGAGAGAATCAACCCCCACAAGAGTGAAGCCTAGTAGCTTAGACTACATAATAAACCCATGTCATATAAACAAATTATAAACAAAACAATATACTGTGTCCTACTATATGTAACATCATTTGATTCTGTCCTTCTAATAGTTTTTATGTTCATTTTATTATATCAGATCTAAAGTTTAGATTATATAGACAATTGCAGCTGTTTTTTGAAGGAAATTTAGTGATGATTCCTGTTGTGACACAGTGGTGGAAAAAACAACCCGGTTTTTGACATGAGCTTTTCTTCTACCCCCAGCTTTCAATATATACTGCACCACCTCTCCGTTCTAAATATGTTGAAGAACAGCCAGGTTATTTACAAATGGGCTTTGCATCTATCCGTACCACAACTCTTCGTTATGTTGGCTGGTGCAAGGTAAGTCTCTATTTTGATAGGAGTTAAATATTAGTGTTTTTTTTTATTGTTTTAGGTATTTATAGACATGGGTTTTCTTTTGTTTTGTTTTTTTTAAGATTCATTTATTTATTATTTATAAAGCATTCTGTCTGCATGTGTGTCTGAGGACCAGAAGAGGCCACCAGATCTCACAATAGATGGTTATGAGCCACCATGTGGTTACTTGGAATTTAACTCAGGGCCTTTGGAAGAACACTCAGTGTTCTTAACTTCTGAGCCGTTTCTCTAGCCCTGATGTTTATTTTTTTTTTAACTTTTCTTCTTCTCTCATGCATTACATCCCATATGGAGTTTCCCTTCCCTCCACTTCTCCCAGGCGCTCTCTCTATTTCCCCTCTCCTCCAGATCAATTCCTCCTCTGTTTCCCTTCAAAGAAAGAGAGAGAGAGAGAGAGAGAGAGAGAGAAAGAGTAGGACTCCTAGGGATATTCATCTATCATGGCATACCAGGATACAATAAGGCTGGGCATGTCCCCTCATATTAAGGGTGTGGTAGGTAAACCAGTATGAGGAAAATGGTCCCGAGCACAGGCAAAAGAGTCAGAGACATGCCCTGCACAGTATTAGGAGTCCCATAAGAACACCAACGTACACAACTATAACATATATGCAGAGAATGTAGATTAGACCCTTACAGGCTCCCTGGTTATTAGTTCAGTCTCTGTGAGTCCTGGTTAGTTGATTCTGTGTTCTTGTGGTGTCCTTGACCCCTCTGCCTCCTACAACACCTGGGTGTGTGTTTCTGCCTCTGCTTCCCTGATGATGATGCCCCTTTGATGACAATTGGGCTTGGCATTGATTCGTAGATGCAGTTTTATTTTAAAGAAACTACCTCAAAACTTAGTGGAAATACCAAGAACTGTGTAATGGCCCATTATTTTGGGGAATTTATCCTGGCCTATTATTTTGGGGGATTAGGAATATGATGAAATATTCATGTGATATTGCCTGGAGCTACTCTATGGCATCCATCAGGCAAATTGGCTGTTCTACAGAAGCCAAAATAGCTTAATTTTATCTTGTCAAGAGTGGCTGGATGACTAGACTCAATTGAAATTTTTTGACTGAGGTGGAAGCTAATAGTACACTGATATTTTATTATCATCATCATATAAATTTAGTTATGTGTAGTCAACATCTCCACAGTGAGGATCTTAGTAACAGGGCTACTAATATTTTTCTAATTCTATAGTAATAATCACAGTTTTTACTTCACCAACAAATGCAGCCTGGTTATAAACTTTTGTGTGATTTTAACATTTATTTTATTTTTTGATAATTTCATATGTGAGCACAATATTTACCTTGTTACATGACCCATCCTCTCCCATCCTCCAACTCCTTCTGTCTTCACACCATTCCCTCTCAATATCTTGACCCCTTATTTGTTATTGATACACACACATGCACACACATACGCACACACACTGTTGGTTTCATTTAATGTTTTCAATATGTATATGTGTTTAGGGCTGACCACTTGGCAGTGAAGAACGTATCAGGGGGCTTGTTTCCAGAGAACACTAATTTCCCTTCTCTTCGAATCCATTGATTAATTGCCTGTGGATTTTAATGTAGGCCTGGGTCCTAGTGAGATTTCCTGCATCCTATTTGGAATGTCAACTGGTGGTATCATTGTGAAGGTCTTGTTTAGGTGGCCATGTTAAGATTTGTAGATGCATATTTTTTGTCATATATGATTCTAATATATTCCTTTTTAAAAGAACATTTTGAGGCTGCTGAGATGGCTTGGTGGATAATGACACTTGCAATGGAAGCCTGGTGAACTGAGTTTGATCCCCAGAACCCATGGAAGGAAGAAAACGAGAAATGACTTCACAAAGTTGTCCTCTGCTTGCCTTTGCATACACGTGCATGTGTGCAAACACACACACATCATTATCATCATCATGATCATGAAAATCTGAATGAACTTATGTAAAATAGCATCCTTAGGTGAAATATCTAATCAGTGAAGTCTGATCAATCTGTTTGTATTTCAAACATGTAATGTAGGGTTATTTTTGAAAGTTTGTGTTTGTCATCCAATTCCAGGGTACTGGGTGTGCTAGTCACCCTTAATAGTGTGATCTCTGTGGGAAATAATCTTAACTAATTATGGTCTGAGTCATGCCCCTCAGGCTACTTGCCAAGAGCTCGATGACTCAGACTTAGGCCTCTTGAGACCTCATTTTCTATAGTGTACTCAGATGTGTCTTCAGTGAGGTAATTGTTCCTGAGAGATCTTTAAATTGCTATTGTAACTATCACCCAATTTAAGACTGAAAGAACATTTCATTCTGTTAATATGCTGAAGCAAATAGGTTGATGAAGGGCATTTGCAAATGCATTTCATCTTCAATGTAAACAACTTTTCTTCTCTAATTTTCCCCTAAGTATTCAATCTATTCCTTAAAAAAGTCTGATTTAAATTTTTTGCATCATGTAGTGCAAATTCAGTACATGCTCCTACCCTACACTTTGCTTTAATATTTTGAAATTTAGGTAGCAGTGCCCCCAAGTGGTCAAAATAAATTCCTAAACACGGCTAAGGAAAATAATTTCCCCAAACACCAGTTTTCTTTCCTAATGCTTTAAAGTGCTTCAAAACAGATCAGCCAATATTTTAACGCTTCAGGTAATATTTTTAAGACAGTTCTTCAAGAGAAATTTCTCAGTGGTACTTTATGTTTTATGCCAGTTTGTGTAGCTTTAAATCGTGCTGAGCACCTCTGCTTAATTGTTTGTTTTTTCAAGACACGGTTTCTCTGTGTAGCCTTGGCTGTCCTGTACTTACTTAGTAGACCAGGCTGGCCTCAAACTCAGAGAGATCTGCCTCTCCCTCCTGAGTGCTGGGATTACAGGTGTGCAACACCATGCTGGGCTCTGCCCACTCTTAAACCGATACAAAATTATTAGACCAAGACATCTCACTAGCTTACTTTTATTCCCATCTAATATAATTGTTTCTGTTTTTCTCCATTGAAAATAACTGTTACACTTGTTTCTATGCAGTGGTTTCATACACAAGGAGGCCCTATGTCTAGATTGTGCTTTCTTGTTTGCACAATAGAATCCAGTATGGAATATAGCAAGATTTTGAGTAAATCACTCATTTTCCCTCTAATATGAGTGAGCTAACACCCACCACTCAATGACTATATAGTACCTTGCCATTCACGTAAGTTAGAAACAGGTAAATAGAAAAAAATATATACATTGCTTTAATCCCTTCAGTGGGTTAATACAATTTTATTTATGTTCCTATTTAATAATAAATGCTTCATTTGTTTTTCTCTCATTCTAATTACACACTAAGATAAAGGGAAGAGATACAGAGCTTTTCAATAAAACTTTCCTGTTTTTTTTTTCCTCTACAAAATCATTCTGCTGTTGCTATCACATCCTTATTAGTCAGATAGTTGTGTGTGTGTGTGTGTATGCTGAGATATACCTCCCTTTGTGCTTTATTTATGATCCATTCCTTTTTCCAGGTCATAATAAAGTAAGATGATAAATCATAATAAAATTTTCACTATCTTTTCTGTGAAATCACTCTCATTATTGTAAAGATATTACTTTACCCACTTCTCCGAGGAAAATAATACACCAGAATTAAGTAAAATGGAAAGTAAGAGATGAATGGATGATACAGTAAGCAGGTATAATCATAGTGAATAAACAGAACATCTAGACTTAGATTCGAGTATACTACTAAACCAACAGCTAAATGTAACTTCTGAATTGTATCAGTCAACCACTTCAAAAGTTTACATCTCTCTTGTCCCCCTCTCCTTTTTTGCTTAGTATGTTTATGTCTTTATGAAGAATGGGATAATGGATACAGTACAGTTTGGAAAAGGTAGGTGAGTAAACCATCTATAATTAAAAGATATTATGGTTATACTGTTTAAAATGTAAGATTATAAACATAGTATATTACTCATTACTGTGATTATATTGATGTAGAAGATAGATTCTGTACTTTATTTTTAATAATAATAACAAAGCAATAGTAAGTATATCCTATTTATTTTACAATTTATTATATGATAAGGCCTTGTCACATTGCTGAGTGTTGCTATTATAACTACAGATTTCTGTCTTACAGATTAGGAAACTGTGGTTTAGAAAGTTTAACTAGGTTCCAAAGGTTACTTGGTCACTTTTAGCTGAAAGTCCACATTGTATATTTATAAAGCATAAGGTAAAGATTTATCCCCTCTTTTGCTACTTGGTTTATCTAAGTGCTATTATCTGTTAAAATATGTTATGCTTTTCTGTCAGTTGCTGGGAAATGGCATAGTAATCACTTAGCTTAACTGTTTCAGCTAATGTTAGAAATAGTATTTGATGCTTACGCTTCTTAATGGTATTTGGCAGCAGACATAGCTTCCTGATATTCCTTGCCTAGAGCAGTTGGCAAAATAAACATGTATGGAAAACAAAGAAAAATCAGCTAAAACTTAGGTATCTTCGAAACCTATTGAAGTTTATTTGAAATATTATTACTTAATGTGAATTAAGGTTTTACATATTCATTATCAATATGTTTTATAGCTTAGGTGAACCTGGAACTCTGCTTCCTATCTTTATCTTCCTGTCTTATCATCCCAAGTGCTAATTTAATGTATACACCAATATACCCAGCTATACCCCATCAGTCTTGAAGATCATAATTATGTATGTAATTGTTGTCAAATAACTATGATAAAAAAGTCTATTTTTAGAGCTGGAAATGATTTAAATGTATAAAACACTGAAACATCTGTATGTTTGATTATGCTGAATATGTTTTTTTTTTTTCTATTTTCACTCGTCATCTTGATCTTTAGTTTTAACCAGTGGCTAACGAGAGATTTCTGGGAGATAGTGACAAGAAGTATCTAATTCCAAAATGCTTTTATATCTTTAATTATTGCTAGATTCTACCAGTGTTTACACAGGTAACAGCAGAAGCCTGTTCGTTGTAGAGATGTAAAACATATACAATCAGAACTTTATTTTATGGTAACTTATATTTAAGTTGTACCTTCCAGCACCACAGTTCATGTAATGATATTAATAACTACTGATAATAATATATATCAAAGAAAGTATTGAATGACTTATGGAAGGTAAATTTTATTTTGTAGTAAATATTGTAACAGACATTTTAAATTGCCGTCCACATGAATTTTTTGTATATCATATTTAAAGATTATTTAAACTAATACCATATTGTCTGACATTAATATCCTAAACTCCAGCTATTCTGCACTACACTTACATCGAATGTCCAATTGTATTCCTTCTTATTGATCCTTAACTGGTCTCTTCAGATACATATATCTATCTGAAGAACCCTCCTCAAGATTTTCTGCCCAAAATAGGAGTGATTACAGCTTCAGGACTGGCAGGTTTGCTGTCAGCAAGAAGAGGTATGTTTTTAAGATATATTTTTTCAATGCTATTATAGTATTTCTAAATCTAAATAAATGTTATTTGTTGGATAAGATCAGATTAGTTTAGTGTAAAAATGTTTAGATTCTTCACTATACCATATTTATATATTTAAAAAAATTTTTCTTCTTTTGTAATTTATATTCAGTTTTTGTCATATTTATGTTTATAAAGATTAAGTTTGAGTATACGAAAATTGTAGTAAAGAATGGAAAACAACTGAATTTCTTATATTCTGCTGGTAAAAATGCAAAGTAGTGTAGCAATTTGGAAATAGTTTGACAATTTCTCATAAAGTTAAACATATACTTATCAAGCAACGTAGGAGTAAAATTCTAAAGTACTTACTTACCCTAGATGTGCTGGCTAGCCTTGTATCAACTTGACACCAGCTAAAGTTATCTGAAAGGAGGGAACATCACTTGAGAAAGTGCCCCCATTTAAGATCCAAAAGTAAGACATTTCCCTACTAGTGATTGATGGGGACAGGCATAGCAATTGTGGGTGGTTGGTTGTCCTGGGTTTTATAAGAAAGCAGGCAGAGAGTCCACAATGAGCAATACAGTAAGCAGCACCCCTCTAATGACATCAGCTCCTGCCTCTAGGTCTCTGCTCTATTTGAGTTCCTACCCTGACTTCCTTTGATGATAAATTGTGATGTGGGAATATAAGCCAAATAAACCGTTTTCCCCAACTTGCTTTTTGGTCATGGCATTTTGTTGCAGCAATAAAAACCCTAACTAAAACTCTACAGAAATGAAACACCCATATACAAATGCTTATAGCAATTGTTAATAATCATAACAAAGCTCAAAACAAGTTAAATATTCTTCAAACCAGGTACATGAATAAAGGAATCTGTAGCATGTCCCTACAAAGGAAAACTATTCAGGGTTACAATATTTTGAGCTATTGGCACATGTAATATTGGTTGTGAATTAAGTAGTCTAGACATTCTCTCCCCACACCACATAAAGCAGCCTTCTTACCCACCCTCTCCAAGTTCAGTCTAGGGTAGACCTGACTTTACCAGGCTCTTGAAAAATAATTCAAACAGACAATAAATAAATAAATAAAAGGTTTGTAAAATTTCACAAACTGCAAAGTCACCAGCAAACATTGTTAGTTTTTTTTTTTTTTTTTTTTTTTGTCAGGTATTTTTTTTTTCACCTTAATATCTTGTAATTTCTTTTTTAAATTAGGGGCCAAAAGCTGATTGAAAGAGTTAATAGTACATACTCCCATTGACCAAAACATTATCTGATTTCTTAGTCTCATTCAGAGTTCAACATACCCAGACAGACATTTAAGATCATTTTGAATCAGTGGTCCTATGTATCTAAGCTTTAGCTGAGAATGCTATAATTCTCGTTACACTGAGTACTAAATTTGCCTCTGCGGAAGTGTTTGGGGCCAGTAAGTGTGGGATTAAGAGAAAAGCTGTGATACAGGACTTGATACAGAACTTCTTATTCTTTCTTTCTTTATTCAGTTTTTTTTAAATTCTTTATTAATTACACATTATTCACTTTGTATCCCCCCTATGGTTCCCTCCCTCCTCCCATCCCAATCCCTCCCTTCCTACCTCCTCTGCACGCATGCCCCTCCCCAAGTCCACTGACAGAGGAGGTCTTATTTTCCTTCCTTCTGATCCTAGTCAATTAGGTCTCATCAGGAGTGGCTGCATTGTCTTCTTCTGTGGCCTGGTAAAGCTGCTCCCCTGTCAGGGAGAGGTAATTAAAGAGCAGGCCAATCAGTTCATGTCAGAGATAGTCCCTGTTCCTATTACTATGGAACAACACACTTGGATACCGAACTGCCATGGGCTACATCTGTGCAGGGATCTTAGGTTATCTCCATGCATGGTCCTTGGTTGGAGTATCAGTCTCAGGAAAGACCCCTGTGCTTAGGTTTTTTGGTTCTGTTGCTCTCCTTGTGGAGTTCCTGTCCTCTCCAGATCTTTTCCACTTCTTTCATAAGGTTCTTTACACTCTGCCCAAAGGTTGGCCATAAGTCTCAGCATCTGCTTTGATAGTCTTAGTTTTTAATTATTTTTTATATTAGTTACAGTTTATTTACTTTGTATCCCAGCTGTAGACCCCTCCCTCATTCCCTCCCAATCCCACTCTTCCTCCCTCATCTCCTCCCTACCCCTCTCTAAGTCCACTGATAGGGGAGGTCCTCCTCCTTTTCCATCTGACCCTAGCTTATCAGGTCTCTTCAGGACTGGCTGCAGTGTCCTCCTCTATTGCCTAGCAAGGCTGCTCCTCCCTTGGGCACGGAGGGGGGAGGGGAGTCAAAGATCCAGCCATCGAGTTCATGTTAGAAATAGTCCCTGTTCCCCTTACTAGGGTACCCACTTGGATACTAGCTGCCTTGAGCTCCATCCGAGCAGGGGTTCTTGGTTATATCCATGCATGGTCCTTGGTGGGAGAAACAGTCTTATAGAAGACCCCTGTGCTCCAGTTATATTTGGTCCTTGTAGAGTTCCTATCCTCTCCAGGTCATACTAACTCCCCCTTCTTTCATATGATTCCCTGCACTCTGCCCAAGTTTTGGTTATGAGTCTTAGCATCTGCTTTGATACACTGCTAGGTAGAGTCTTTCAGAGGCCCTGTGTCCGATACAGAACTTCTTATACCCAGGTTAATCAGAGCAATTTCAAGTTGACAGGCTCTAAGTGAGAACCTAGTGAGTTCCTAGTAACATTCTCTTTGGAACTTTTTAAAAGAGATTTTACTGCCAAAAAATGATATGAAAATGACTCTTACATGCTTAGTCAAGGCACTTTTGAAAATGCATTAATTATGTCAGGATAATTGCAATTAGTGTTACTTCAGTATTCTGAATCAGTAACATAAAGTAGTTATGTACCTTTTGAGGTCCGTAGCTGATTGGTTCATTGGGTCCTTCACCTTTCTAAGTGTTAATCAGAAAGGGCATGTAGAAGAGGGTCCATTTCACTTTAACCTGCTTTGACGAACACAGTAGCTGATTATTTCTCTGCTATCATGCTTTGTTAGATATTTGAAAAAATATAATTATAATTTCTAGTTTCTTAGGATATAAAAAATAACTAATCTTTTAAAAAGATAATTACTAATTCCTTTGTGTAGATAATTATCAGTATTAGATTCAGAATCTTTTTCTTAGATTGGACATGATGGCAAGGGGACATTAATTGAATTGAGATCCTCAAGGGCAATTTAGGCACCATCTTGATAGGTATTGCTAACTAAAGAGCAATTTAACATAGGGTGATAGCTTAAAGAGGAACAAAGAAAAAAAATCACAGTATAAAACATCAAATCTCTGGTGGTATCTATTTGGGTTGAATAATTTGTTTAAATTTTGTAGGTTCTAGGTTTCAGAAGATTACTTATCCTCTAGGGATGGCCACATTAGGAGCAGCTGTTTGCTACCCAGCTTAGTTAGTAATAATTGCAAAGGTAAGTTCTTTTAAAACGAGAGCAGTATTTCAATGTTTATTTAAACTCTCAGTGTAACAATACTTAAATGTCATACAACACCTTAAACATTTGATTTTCAGAGGCATGTAGTTGGAATCAGCTCTTTGGTTGGCAAAATTACATTAGCATCTCAACATGGAAAATAGCATTAATTTCATGATCATCACAGGTAAATAGGATGAATGTTTTTAGCTGCAAGATAAAAGCAGGTTGACAGATCAAGTTCAGAGACAAAACTAGAATTTATGGAGAGAAATACTTCTTTGTAGTTAAACTATAAATTCATGGCTTTTTTGTTTTTGTTACTTAATAACAGGAAATTATACCTGCTGGCAGCTGTTCAGTTCAGAAGACTAACACAATGCACGAAACATCAAATAATAGGTTACAGAGACTTATGAGGTTAAAAAAAATATACACACAAACAAATTCTTCCTTAATTATAAATTAATTATAGTAAATTAATAATATAATAATATAAATAAATTTATTTAGAAAAATAAATTATAAAAATAAAACTGTTGAACCTATGTGAAACATACCATTTTGCACAAAGGTTTCTTATATACAGTTTCTTATATACAATTTTGAAACTATTGGAACCAAAAATCAGCTTTCAGCTCATTGTAATTGCTGCAAATCTAAAAAGTCTCCTAATAATTTGAACAATTTTTATTGATTTTTTTTCCTTTTTTACAATGATACTCCCAGAGTCTCAGACACAATACTAATCAATACATAAGCTATATGATCATGCCTTGAATTTTATCACATATTCATATTCAGAAGCAGAGATTTGTGGTATGCGAGTTTTTCTTCTTTTTTGCCCTTAGTTAACCAACATTTAATATCCCCCCATTCATTCTTTAATATTATTACCAGAAGGACTTTCTGTACTTGTATTCTTACTAGTACATCTCTTTAATTGTTGATGTAGACAAAACTCGTTTATTCAATATTTTGAGAATGTCAGGGATATTGTGAGCTCTGCAGTTTGTGATGTGATCAAGCTATAAAAGCTTATAATAGGAAAAGAACAATATTCATTAAATCTAGTTATACTTGAGAAAATTGCTGAATAAAGTGATGAATTTTTTTAAAAGATTTCTTTCTATGAATTTACATGAGAATTAGCCACTTAATGTTGATGCTTAATGTTGATGAGCTCAAGAAAACTTGAGCTCATTTTACTTAACCATTGTTTTCATTTGCTGAAAAGCAAGCAGTGGCCCAGTGAAAGTTCCCAGGGACTGCCTTACCCAGGGTCACACTCAGCTTTAGGTGTTCTACTTTCTGTTACTATTCCCAGTGGATGCTGCTGCCGCTGATTATACTCTTTTTTTCTTTTTACAGTTTCTCAGTGATGGAGAAAAAGCCATAAAGTTTTAAGAAAAAAAAAACAAAAACTCATTTTTTCTCAGTGATCTGTTTACTTTTTCAAGCTGTTTATTCATAAACTTTTGTGGATACAAGTTTCACATAGTACGAAATCCTCTAATATAAGCTACCTGGTCATATCAGTAATGGCTGGACACAGAATGACAAATCTTGAGTAATGTCACTCATGTGGATAGAGGACAAAGTCCAGAGAAGCAGATTGCAGAATAGTATTTAATGGGGGCTGGCAATGGAAGGAAATGGGGAAGGGAGATGTTTGTATATACTGACAGTTATACGACAAAATGTTAGGAAACAAAAATGTTCATGAGGTCTATCTATAGCAAGGCAATTATGGTAAATAAGTATATATTGGACACATAAAATTTGCAGAGGGACTTGATCCTAAGTGTTTTTATCCCAGACATATAAAAAGTAACTACATGAGCTCATACCAGTGTTGGAAAGCTTGACTGCAGGAATTAATGCAAAAAGTAGACTTCTGTCAAACATTGTGTTGTTTACCTTAAATAAATATAATTTTTATTAGTAGTCCCTCTATAAGGTTGAAAAAATTTTTATCTAATAAAATGGGGTCTGGGGTATGGCTTTTGGTAGAGTCCTATGCTCAAGGCCTGGAGGTCAATCCCTAATGCTATAAATTTATGTTAAAATACATAGGCATACTTTTAAATTTATTCTATATTGTGAATGTAATTATATATTTATTAGCCATTTACATGTAGCTAGTACTTTTTCACATACGATTTTGAAAATACTACTTTATTTTGTGTGAACTAGATTACATTTTTATTGTTGATTGCTACTTCACTGTTCACATAAAATACTTTATCTGAGTTTAAAAGTTTTTATTTTAGCTTTTAAAAATATATTATCTGACTCACTTTTTCTTTGACAGATAACTGGGAGAAACACATATGATACAAGCCAACAAATTTATCAAGCCATTAAGTCATTGTGGACAAAAAGCAGTGAAAAACAATCACTCCCTGAACCAAAAGAAGAAACTAAGGTACAATGTAGATAAACCAAAAGGGTATTTATTGAGTTTTTGTTTGAGTAATCATTTGCTCATAATGATACTATAGAGAGCTCAAAGATAAAATTGAAACAGACAAAAGATTCACAATAACTTGGAATAGTATAATTTTATGTTATTTTAGTAAAATAATTTATTTCTAAAGAAAATATCTGGTTTTGATAAACAGGCAGGAAGGTCTGGTGAAATACATGCCAAAACAGTGTCTTTGCCAAAAGAATTTGCTTCTGTGACAAAGATGAAATCAGAATCCACCTCAGGTTTGTTTGGAATTTTTAATTTTTTCATTCTTATTAAATAATTTTAGAGCATTATACTTGATACATTGAACTTGTGTGTTTTGCTAAATATTTTTTTCTCTTTCATATGTATGCTTTGAATTTTATTTTTTGTTATGAGGGACCTAGATACCTAAGATTTTTCTTTCTGAATCACCACGTAGCTATAATACATGTCTTCATGTGTGCGGGTATACAGAAGTACTGTCAGTGTGATTGAGTGAAGCATTTAATATCACTTTATAAATGTG